TCGTCAAGGGTTTCGTCTGACGAATGAAGTGACGAAATGTTTCGTCATCATGAAAATAGTTTCGTCAGGTATCATTATACTAGTGACTTTCACTAGCGACAACACGCACGTCTGTCTAGACATATTTGTTTTCTTTTATTGTTGGTTGCCCTTCTTATAGGCAAATAGTGGTTATAATCAGTGTTGTCATTGAAGATTATTGGACAATGCTTGGACAGCTTTGTAAATGATCGGAACCAAACCGTTTTTGTGACAAATAATTTTTTGTTTTGGTTTCGAATTAACCCGAACCATTTCTTACAACTCAAGATATTGTTTAGATAAAACTATTTTAAGCCATAAATATGCAAATTAGTATTGTACCTTTTGATATTGTTTGCGTATTCTTACTAAAGATAGCAATAAGAAGATTAATTCTCGAATTTCACACAACTAATAAACTAATAATCAAATATCATTATATTTCATACACCACGCACGCCCGGATTTCCATAACTAATTTATATGCCTGCTAAAAATCATTTTAGAGTATAAAACAAAAAAGACGGAAGTTACAAAAAAGGAAATTTTTACTTGAATAGTCGCATGCTGTGAACTGTTAGTTACATGTAATTGATACCAATACCCAAATTAGCCTAACACATGCCATAGATCAACATGCAATACTGTATATAATAATTTGTTGCTACTCTGCTACCATCATGTCTGAGTTTAAAAATGGTCAAAATTGTTCTTTTATGGATTGAAATTTTTGCGTGTTTGATTGTGCTGGCTCACACTCAAACCTATCAAACCTGCCAACCGTGCTTCCATGCGTACAATTCAGTATTAGCCTGCGCTGGCGTTACCAGTATCGCTCAGTTGGCTTTACTAACAAAAAAAGCACAGATGAAGTGTATGTGTGATCAGAAGTTCATAAATGGGTATATGAGGTATGTGAAGAAATGAGGCCTAATGGTGTGTGCTTGAATAAAAAGTATATATTTGCTCGAGTTAGTAACACGATGCACGTTTAAATCATCAAGTTGTTTCGATTGCGCAGACTACTTTCCTCCAGTATCCTGTAAGTAAACCCAACTGATCCTTTATGTAACTAGTTATAGCATTTCAATTTATTCCTATACTTTCTTTATAGCAATCGTTGATGAATGTGAATTATACGGTTATTTTGTGAATATACCTGGCAGCAGTTCGGGGAACAGTAGTTCGTCAAGCAGCAGCAACTCGGGAAGTAGCAACTCGGGGAGTAGCGACTCAGAAAGTAGCAACTTGGGAAACTATAGCTCGGGAAACAACAGCTCGGGAAACTATAGCTCGGGAAACAACAGCTCGGGAAACTATAGCTCGGGAAACAACAGCTGGGGAAGTAACCAGAACTCATCATCAAGCAAAAATCCAGTTTCAAGCGGTGGAATTAGCAAAAGCACTATCGTTGGCTTAGCTACCAAGAGTTATTTATTCTTAGGCCTTGTTTTATTACATTGTGCGCTTATTACAATTGGTTGAAGGTCAAAAAGTAAAGTGGTCAATATAAATATTAAAATGTACACGTCATAACAAAAGTACCACCACATGTTTTCTAACTGGATTTCACCAATTGTCTAATCAAATTGCATATGTTTTTATATTCTCTCATGTAAATTCAAGTCATAATGAATAAAGTACTAACAATTTCAAGAAATAATTGGTTAAGTCAGTAGATTTCATCACCAATTCGGTCAAATGCAAATTAGAATTACCCTTGGTTTTATTATAACTTGATGATTTAGAAAATGATACATTATTTATCACAATAAGAATTATTTTCAATAGTGACTTTATGAAGATCAAATTTCCTACATTTCATAATAACTGGTATCTGGAAAAGGTGTGATTGTATATAATGTGTAAGTATATAGGGACGACTGTAATTGGTTAAAAATAGTGTGATTACAACTGAGTAGGGATGGGACCCAAACCTCATATGGAAAATTGACACTTACGGCAGTTTGGGATACAGTTTAACATTTTTGGCAAAATCCCAATAATATGCCGACGAATTCCAAATTGATTGTCAAACCCCCAACATTTGGTTAAATGTCAAACTAAGTGTAAAATCCCGAACGTCTGGCTAAATCCCAAAGTTTTGACAAAAAATTGTTGCATGGCTTTAAATTAAGAATTCAGACGTTTTTCAATGAAATTTCTAGGAAAAATTTCCTATAATTTTGCCCTCTGATCGGAGAATGAAATTAGGGATAGGAATCGATTCTCTAGAATCGATTAATTTAGAATCGATTAATTTTGTAGAATCGATTAATATTTGAGAATCGATTAAGATTTAAGAATTGATTAAAGTTTAAAAATCGATTGAAATTTGAGAATCGATTTTAAAGACAAAAATCGATTAATAACGATAATGCATAAATCGTGTATGTTCAGTACATGTACATGTAGTTGGAAAATCATGCTTTTCACTTGTGAAAAACATGGCAAATGTTACATGTACATGTGCTCTAATCAAAAAAAAATCATTACCAATATAAAGTTTAATAATTCTGATAGTGATACATATACATATACATATACATGTACTTGCACGCAAATATTTGACAATTCCTCCATCTGAATGTCTATTTTTAGATGTGGGAAACTTAATTACATAAACAAAATCAATTAAATTGGTAGATCTACTTGAGAATCAATTCTCAAATTGAAAATCGATTAATCGAATTTATTTAAAACGATTAATCGAAATTATTGATCGATTTTAGAATCAATTCTGGTTTGAGAATCGATTCCTATCCCTACATTATATGCACCGGGCATATAACGGAGAAAATTGAACTGAATACACGGAAGAAAAACCTATGGACAAAACTATTGTTCGCTAATTGCATTTGACGTATACGTATTACGACATAAATGATCGTTACATTTACAAACATCTTAAATGGCATGCGTCACAAGGAATCTTCCAGCACATGATTTTAAATCAGGCCATCCATCCGTCTGATTGGATGATGGATACATACTTTTGAGAATTTGCCAGCACATGATTTTTTCCATCGACCAATCTAATTGAAATCTTGAATAACTCGAAAATTTACTATAACAGCCTCTAAGTAAAAATGGCGCGAAAATTTCGATATACAAAGGAATCATCAGATAAATAAATTAAAACCAATATTTTTTACGCTGATGAGCATTGCTACTCTGTTTTAGAATTAGTTAACAACAAACTACCAGTACAACATAAACAAACTTCCAATCAAAGGGCATTTTCCAGGGGTCCACTAAAGCCGGGTAGTATCATGTGATTTTGGATTCGATCCGGATCCAGATCATGTGAAAAATTCACGTGA